AGGTGTTGGAGCACATCCTGTAAGCACTGGAGCTGCATTTACTGAAGAAGCTTTGCAGTGTCACAAGGTTGGGGGCCAGGGAGTGACTGGTGCTATGACTTGTCTTACTTGGGACTCTCGCTGTTGTGGTTTAACATAAAGGCATAAGCTAACCTACAGGCTTCATGAAGCAAAAAGCAATCCCTACTGTGTACTTGAGGTGAGTGCTGCAGGAAGAGGCAAAGGAGTTAAAAGAAGGCAAGTTGTATTATAAGGAGTGGCTAGATGGGGAAGATGATGTCTGTTTTGCCTGGACAGGCTCAGGACCTTATTCTGCTGCCTTGTCTGCAGGCAGCCTGCCCATCAAAATTATCTCCAGCGCTGAGTGCAGAGAGGATGAGCCAACAGCTTATTAAACAGGAGTCTCTGTTATTTCTGCTGAGAAAGGTGGCTTTTAGTTTCCTGAAGGGTAATTAACTGAATTCTTCCCTTGTCATACTCTGGCTGTTTCCCTTTGCTTTTTCCAGACAGTTCTCCTTGGTTCTTCAATGGAGGCAATGACTCGGTAGTCTTGTTAAATTTGGGGCAGGAAGAATAAAAATAATATGGACATAGGATTTCTTTGGGAGACACAATCACCAGAGCCAGACTTTGGGACAAATTTGGCTCTGCAGTTCAGCAACTGCTCATTTCTGATAGAGTGTTGAAATCTTCACAGCACCTTGAACTGCCACCTGCACAAACAGTCCCATAACTGGAATGGGACCCCAGAGATGTGTAAATGTTGGCCTCACCTCAGTGTGTTTTGGTACCAACTGCTGGCTGGGGAAAGCAGCACAGATCATGGTGGGCAATAGGAGGGTCTTGCCAGATTCCTCTGCCTCGTCACCATCTCTGATGGGTCTGCTTGGCCCAAAAGCAGCATGGATGGCCTGTTTGCCTTGTCTCAGAGCTGCCAGCATGGGTCACAAGTGCTGGTAATTGTTGCAAGACCCATTGGTGCAAAGTGTCATTTTTTAGTAGACAGTGACACAGAATTCTTTCTTTTTATTCTTTTTGATTAGAGCTTTCTCAGGAAGAACTGACTCTCAAAGGGAGGGTAATAATTTACATGTCAATTCTAAACTTGAGAAACCAAGCCATATTTGGGAAAAAGTGGAGACTACTGGTTACAATGAGTTAAGATAGTACTTTGCTCAGCAACCTTGAATCTGCTCCAGTGGAATTAGGAACCTGCAAAATACACCATTTCACATTATTTGCATAGGTAAATGAGCAAAGCAAAAAGAAATCAACAGTGAAAGCATTCAGTGTGATAGTGAGTGAGATGGAAGGAAGGAAAATTGTCTTCAATCACTTTGCTTCAGTAATATTTATATGCTCTTAGCTGCATTCCTAACAATTCTTAAGAGAGAGATTTGGATCCTGGAGAGGGAGATAGTTCAGCATTTCCCAGAATGATCTCCATTTAAGTTGCCTTAAGTGAGCTAGAGTGATTTTCTTCTGGGAATACAGCCAGCATACATAGAGACTTAGAATCTGCAAGAATACTCCAAAACAAGATCTGAATGATCTGTGAGTACATGTCCCATCAGTCCCCAGCTTCAAAGTGAATTCTCTGTGAGTAATAATCCATTAAAAATCTGTACGTGGTTTTTATTTTGTGAAGTCGGACAATAAAAGGTCCCATGCTACAAAAACTCAATGGCTTTTGTCACTTGTTGAGCATCTTGGCAAACATTGGGAGTATGTGAGCCTGAGTGAGATCTGTGCCCCACTGGAGCTGAAATGCCTTCTCCTAAAAGAGTTAATCCCATGCAGCCCCACTGTGCAGGATCACACAGGGTTACCTTCCCCCCTGGGGTTTTTACAGACACACAGCACTGCCCAGTGTTCACATTGAGTTTTTTTGTTTGGTTTTAGTTTTGTTTTGGTTTGGTTTTTTTTTTACTCTATAACAATACAAAAGTTATCTTCTAACCACAAACACAAAATCCTATAATTAAACCTTTGTTACCCACAGCAAAGGGCTCATCATGTATACAAAGCAAACATTTTGGCAAGTTTATTGTCTTCCTGGAGACTAAGACAGAATTAATAGCATTGCAAAATTACAGCAAGCTGCTTGCTACACTGCTGCTGGATTTTTTCACTGGAAACATGATTTTTATGTTCCTCTTCATCTTGAAAAAATAGTGCAACAGTTTTTATTGTCAAAGGCAGCACAGTGCAAAACACCTTATGAAAGTAAAGACTGATGGCATATTTTGGCCTTAAAAATTGTACTTCACAGTCCATTTAAAATCATTTAGGTGCATTTTTTTTTTTTGCATAAAATTACTAAACATTGGGAGGTAGCTAATTAGGGTAATCCGACTAGTAAACTACATGAATCATCAAATTTAGGGCTTTTGTGCTGAAAGACACAAGATAGGTAGATGACAGAGAGATAGATTATTTCATTTTCATTATGTGAGGCCTTTCACTACTGGGAAGGCACCTTGCTCATTAAACAGAAAGCCAGAGATGTCTCATGCAGCACTTCTATAAGAGGAAACTTCTATTTTTCAAGTCCATTTTGTTGTTGTGCTTTGCCTGTAATTCCAACTCTGTTAGTTTATGTGCGTGAGTCATGAACAAAAGGTGAATTTTTACATTTAATTTCCCTGTTAGGTATCATATTCCAATGATATATATTGCAGCTGCCTAAGAAAAATGGATCAGCCTGAGTTAGTCATACTACCTCTCAGCTGGAAAAGTATAATGATGTCCTCAGGAAAGCTGATCAGATCTGAAAGGCTTTTCTGGTGGCATTGAGTGTGAAACATACCTCACTGTTCATACAGAGGAGAGAACTGTATTTTTATTTGCATCTTTCTCTTTCCACAAATGAGCCATTTCATCAAAGAAAAACACATGTGTTCTAAAACTATTTTCTGCCTACCTGCTGCAGGACACCTATAGCAAGTCCTACTTGCATGACCCTTTGTCTTAGAAATCTGGAGACAGAACAGCACTATGAGAAAGTAAAAACTCCCCTGGCTGTCGTATCAAAGGTTCAAGTAGCCAAGTGGCTTCTCTTGCACAAAGGCCAAGGCCATTGCAGTGGTGGGAGAATATGAAAAAGACTACTGATTGCAAAGGTTCTTGCAGTTTTAATTGTTTTAAACAGGGAGGGAATTGTAAGAAGACATAATGGACTTTTAACTACATTTCCTGAAAACCTCTTCATGGGGCAGCAATAATTAGAGGGTACAAATTTGGTCTTTTTTAATATATTATATTTGTTAATTAGAGAAACTGAGTTTTTTTAAAGATTGTTACAAAAGCTAATAGCGTATCTCAAAATTATATTTTTTGCTAATTAGTTATTTATTTCAGAAAGAGTGTTTTGAAAAGAGAGGGAGTTGAGATGGTTTTAATGTATCTCAAAAATGTGTCAATTTCCAGTGTGGGTCCTAGAATATTAATATCAAAATGAAAAAATATCACTTGAGATTAAGGACTGTGCATGCTTGCTCATGGGGGAGAAGTGTGAAAGTTTTTTGCACAATTAGCCTCTGGGCAATGGAGCCCAAGGCTGCATGTCCTGTAATTAAGTTACAATTTCTGATGTGGATCTGTTTGACAGAGAGCTGTCTTGCCACTTGTGCTTTCAGCAGGTATCTCACACTGTCTTTTGCCATCTGTAGGACGGAGGAAACCCTGGGGCAGCTGGCAGAACCCTGTTTGGGTCAGGGCTACTGACAGTTCTGTGATGGGCTGCAGCAGGTCTGGGCCCATTCAGGACCCCAGCAGCCATGCAGGCTGACCCTGACAGCAATGCAGGCTCACTGCTCTGTCCTCAGGCTCTGACAAACACAAAACTAGCTTTTCCTCCTCCTGTTTTCAACAATGAAACACAACCTGACTGAAAACCTTTAACAGCGTCTTGAATATTCACGTGCTCAACTCTCTATTTCTTTATTCATTACTAAATGCAGTTGTCAATACCGAGAGGGGCTCAGGTTTTCCTTTCCGCCTCTGTAGAGAAGACAAGATTGCAAAACTGAAAATACAGGTGCTATAAAATCCTGTGTTTCCTAAAGTATCCCCACATATTTCCAAAGAGAATGTAATGTGATAATAAAAACAAAACCACTAACATAAACATAAATAAACCTAGGGATTGCAGTGCTAAGATAGTACTTCACCCATGCATACACAAAATTAAATGTGTGTCTTAGCAGTGAGGCATCACAGGGTTTGTCCTTTGCTTCTTTAACTCATAGGGAAGTCTTAAAATATGTTCAGAGTAGTTTCAGTCAATCAGCAGTAAATGATTTATCTTGTCAATCTTGTTAAACAAGTGAAGAGCCTTGGAGACTTAATGAGTGGGAGTCACAAACTGTGGGGGAGACTCAGGCCAATGAGCACAAGGATGTTATACAGAGGTATAAGTACAGACATGCTATCTGTATGTTACTGGTTTTTAATGAGGAATTAAGATTACGTGGGGGATGATATGTGAAGCTGGCACTGTGATGAAATTCACAGTTTTCCCCAGCCTTTCAGTTTGAACTTCAGCTCCATGATTTTCAGTTCTTAATTGTTAATTAAATTCATATTGACCATTGTTACTAATACTATCCTCCTGACTGGGAGGAAGGTTTCATAGGAAGGAAAGCTAGTTGCAGACAGATGAATCCAGGTAGGAAAGCAACTGTGAATGCACTGATGAGCTTCCAGCTGCAGTTCCATTTCCTTACTCCTTGCCTGCTCGAAAACACTGTGCAACTCAGGTTGCTCACAGAAAGAACTGAGAATTTTTTTCATGGTCACACATAAATGTGCATATTTGTGCCTCCTGAAATGCAACCTAACCCCAGAAACTGTACAACTGGCTTAGCTAGGCAAACCTGAAGTTCAAGCAACACATTTTAATGGAGTATTCACTAGCAGCTATTCAGGAATACCTCCATGGGCCTAACAGCTTTGGCAGAAAGTGTGTCATGTGATTCCAGTGAAACACATCAAGAGAATCAGGATGTAAGTGCACAATTTATAACTGTAAACAGAGAAAACCATAACAAATAGAATTTTCCAGCAATAACAGAAGTTCAGCAAAGTTTAGCAAAGATCCTGTTTGGATACAATCATAAGTAAAAGCAGAAAATGCAGGAAATACATAAGGCAAAAGTTTTATTTTCCAAAGTGTAAGTATGTCCTTAGCACAATTTAAGTAATCCATTGACATTGCAATTCTGATTGCTACAAAATTGAAGGTAAACTTTTTGACTGCACCTATTGCACACTTTCTCCACAGCTGTATAATAAAACCCTCTGTATCAAGAGATTCTTCACTGTGATTAGCTGGTCTGTAGGAGTTCAGTTAAGTAGTTCACTTATTTATGCAAAAAGTGTTTGCATCTCTCTATTTTATAATCTGTGGCATATCACTCCAAGCTTGAGACTTCTTTTTGGCCAGCTCCATCCATGCTGGCTGACTGGGAGCAGCATTACTGGCTTTCCTCAAGTGGCTTATTTCCTCCTTATCCACCAGTGCAGGCGATGGAGATACTGGGAATAAAGCACATGGACATTTTACACTTACCTGCTGAGCAACTAAACACCCTCTTTATTAAATACTTCTCATGCTTTGCCCTGTGGTAGAAAATCTTTACATTTCACATGGAAGTTTCTTATGCAATAAGTTCTTGAGAAAATTACCATTCTGTGCTCTAAATAACATAATGTTTTTCTCATCACTAATATATTTTGATCCCTCAATTTACCAAAACTCAACATGATGACCTGGATTCCTTGTTGTGCCCTATGTTAACACCCACGCCAAAGAAGTGAGAGTCTTTTCATTAGCTAAAGTATTCAAGTGTCAATTCCTCCTTTACTCAGCCCTCAGCTCACAGGAATTTTATTACTTCAAAACTTCTGACCTTCTTTCCAATTTTAATTTACCAAATAGATTTAAAACAAACTCATTGTGGGAGGACTGACGGTCAGACAGTTTGTGATCACACCATTCCTCAGCTGGCTGAGGAAGCCACATTTAAATTGAATGCTATTGTAAATATTTTTGTTTACATTTTACACTGGGATAGTGCATTTGGCCTCTGTCCTGTGAAAGGGCCTGAAGTTCTTGATTCGCATTTCTTTAACATAAGTTCTTGGCTACCCCTTTTTACTCTTGTTTGTAATCAAACTGGTCAAAAGAACATAAATAAATTAAACCTCAAATAAAATAATAAATAAATAAAACACCAAATAAAACTCCAGATGTGTGCTGAGAAAATTCTTTGCCCTGGCTGATGTGGGGCTGAGGAAGAGATTATGATCTACCCCTACTCCTTTTGCAGCACACTCAAGCAGGACTTCTTCTGACAAGGTTGAGATGTAACAACCTATATTTTAAGAATTTTGTTTCTTACCAGGGACATAATGTGACAATGAATTGGTTCTCAACAGGGGCTTCTCTGCAGACTTCGAGTCTTTCCCCTGCTCTTCAGAAGTGCTTTTAGGTGCCAAGTGTGAAGGTTTATTCCATTGTTGTTTCACTGGCCCCTAAGCACAGAGAAGGATAAAATCCAAGTAATTCAGGGACAATGAGTTCAGTTTGGAAGAACACAAGCAAAGTAGTGGATGGGGAGCCTGCCACAGTTCAGGAGACATTGGTCCCCATCCTCTTCCTTAAGCTGACGCCTGTTCAGAAAGTTACAGTGTTTTCATATAACATCCATGATACTCAATTTTACTAATTAAAACTTTTCATAATGGTATGAGTAGATAATTCTAGTCTTCACTGCAAAATGTATTCCAAGTCCTTTGCACATCTCTACAAGCATACACAGGATTTGGAAACAGCCTCATTCTCTCATGTTCTCCCTCCATCTCCCAAATTTTGTGGGCTAGGACACTGTATTTTTGGACAGTTGATGATAAATGGATTTTTCATAAAAAAGAAGTCAAACATGTCCTCCAACAGATTTACTTGCCAGTATCAAAAACTACCCTGAAGTGATAGTGCCTGGTGCCATGTGGGAGAAAGTGGGAGTAGTACAGTGGCACCAAGCCACACATGCTGCAGTCAGAAGCATCTTGGCATGTTTCTCTGCTAGCTGCTACAGGGAAATAAAATGCATGGCATGAATTTCAGGGATCATTGCCAACTAAAATCTGGAGTTTCCTGTTCTGACATAGGAACTGTATTTTGGGATCATGTTGGGCATTACTGCAGTTCAGAAATTGGCCTAGACATCTTATTAGGTATTATTTCTTGTTAATCTAACCACTGCTGTTTTTCATCATCTAGAAACCATCTCTTATTCCAGGATATAATACACCTGCCTGAGATGCTAGAAGTGCCTGCCTGAAGCAAGAATGTAGGTAATTTGCACTGGGAATGCCATACTGGTATAGGACACACATGCTCCTGCATCAGAGCAGGGTTCTTCTTTGTGCAGGACACAAAACAGGCAGCAGGTGAGTGCTCTGGATCCATGCCAAGCACTTCCACAGGCACAGCTGTGTCATCTGGGAAGCTCATTAGCTACAGGAATCACCTTGTTTTGCATGGGATCTCTGAAGAGGCAGTGTCAGCCCATATTCCATGGCACCACATGGGCTCCATCCATATACAGGGAGCCAGAATTTATATATTAGCACTCTCTACAAATTCAAAAGTTATTTTTATCCTACTTCACTTCTCAGGGCTCTAAAAATTGTTACCAAGGAGCTTCTAGGACCAAGCTGTTCATTCGGTGTTAACTCAGTCAGGAGATATAAGAGGTTCAATGAAAGGCTATGCTTAGAAGGATAGTTAAAAGAGAACATATTTCCTCTGCATTGAGGAGGATCAAAGACTACAATTTAGCACTTCCTTTTGGATATTTCAGCATGCAATACACATGTTGGATCTGGTAGGTATGCCAAGAAATTTTACACATTTCACAGAGTTCCAGGATTTCTTGGACACAAAACCAGTTCTCTGAACAATCAGAGAACTTTGAATCTGTAACACATTTATCAGAGCAGTGTCTTTTTTAGTTACAGTTACACTCATTAAGTATCTATAATGACTATGACATGACTGGTAACATAGCAGTAGATCCAAAGAATACTATAGGAGGTGATACAAAAGCATCACAAATTTGTACTGCAAGTACCTCTGTTTGTTCATTTCCTTTATTCTGTTTCTCTGTATTTGACTTATTATCTGGAGCCACAAGTTTTTCTCTGCTGAGTTCCTTCTCCTGATGCATGCCCCTCTGCTTTTGCCTTGCAATGGAAATCCAGGCTGGTTCTGTAGGAGTGTCAGGATCTCTTCCAGAGTCGCTGGCAGCCATGGGGGAAGGCACACTTTTCTCTGTTGACAGATTATTTATGTCTGGTTAGAGGAAACAAAGTTGTAATTAGCTTCAGCTCATACTTTCTCAATAGACTGATTGGTCCCAGGATATGAAACCAGCCTGGATAAATAGGAATTCTGTTTAGTTTGGTCTCCAGAGAGCAATTTTCCCGTGCTCACAGGTTTAAGTTATTATTCTACTAGTGAGAAATGCTTTGCATCTTTCTTCAGCTGGAGTCACAGTGTCACTGCTCTCACATGAGGGAGATGCAGAAATATGAATCAAACTTCTGTACTCTACCCATTTCCCAAGGTCTGCCCCTTCTGCTCCCTCTTCCACAGTATTTTAGAGACAAGCAGCAGACAATTCAAATGTAGACACAGAGGGACTGTGGTGTTGCAAAGGCAAACTTTTCCCCACTCTGGCATCCCTCAGCTCCCACTCTTCTGATGTTCACACAGCAGCAGCCACGCCTTAGTCTGGTTCCTGCCTTCCTTCTGCTCCTTTAGGAGCAGCTTCCCCCCATGCAGCAGCAGCCTGTGCCTTAGTTGTTTCCTGCTTTTCTTACACCCCTTTAGGAGCAGCCCCCCACCTCAGCTCTGTGTAGTCTGCAGGTGCAGATTCAGTCATGGGTGCCTGCGCACAGCAGTCTGTGGTGACTGAGCACACAGAAGTACTGCTAAAACCACAGAGTGACTTTCTGGTCTTTTGATGTGAGGTTTACATTGACTTATCCCTGCTGATGCTGACCATGGTCTTCACTGGGGCCAGTAACTTCCATTGTGCTCTACCAGAAATGAGACTTGAGTGACAATAAAGGAAAAAAGACAATTTCTGGAGATGAAAGTCAAAACTACTACCCTGCTGACCTCACCACTGCTACCCAAGGACATGTAGAATCCAGGGTTATGGGAAAGAGAAATCCAGGGTTGTGGGAAAGAGAAATATTCAAATATTCTGAGAAGGGAAATCCTGTCTATTCACTGAACAGAACTCAGTCAAGAGAAGAGTCTCAGCAGCTCCATTGGCTCCATCCCCCTGGTTCTCCATTTTGACTAATACTGAACACAAAATTGAGTTTCCCAACAAATGGTAGAGCTTCTGTGTAATAAAAATGAGGAACAAGAACAGGACTAACAACCTCAGACCCAAGAAGATTGATTTCACCTTTCCCAGCCAGTTCTGGTCACTGATGTATCAAAATTTGCAAGAGCATTCTTGCAAAGCAGAAGTTAAGCTTCTCATCCTCAAATCACGTGTGATCCTGCTCTTTGGAAAAGTTTATTACTTAGTCAGCATCCTGTTCAGGGGCCTGGGAGGAGGCAGACCCTGCCAGAAAGGATTACTGCCCTAGGGTCCCTTGGGAGCTCAGCTGCTCTGCTGACAGTGTAGCCAGCCACAGGACCCTGTGCAGCTGTCAGACACATTCCTGGAGCACTATGGTCTAGTTTGGCAGAATATGGCCCTGATCAGGAAAGCAGGAAAATGCTTCTGAAGGCACAATTGAGATGCTTCATGAAGGCATGGAAGATAAAAGGGATGATGCACTCCCAAGAGCTGGAGTCTGCCAACACAGGCATATTATGAAAGCCCACAAACTTGCTTTGCTCAGGGATTTTCTCAAGTCATTTTTATACCTCACCAGAGAGAAAGAGTAGTTATTTGAACAAGAAAACATTGTAAAGCCTATGTCAGCTAAAAAATGAAAAAGAGAAAAACCCTTTAACACCAAAGCAAGATGTTTTGCCAGCTGGTGCCTGCATTTCTCTTCACGTTCACCTCATGCAATCTTTCAGGAAAACCTCTGGAAGAAACAACTCAGAAGTCCAGCAGCACAAACAAAACATGGTCCCTGAACACTGAAGAAGCTTCCCTCCCTCTTTTACAGCATGTTACACCAATTCTCTGCATTCCACCTAACCCCCATTTTTGCATGACAACAGCTGTTCCTCTCATCTTTTTCCAATCACTGTCTTTTTTTTTTTTTTTTTTTCAATCAGGCTTCAACTGGCTCTCCTTGCTTCATTTTTATCTCATTTTACAGGATGATAAAGAATAAGGCTGGGAGAGATCTCAATATGTCTTGTAGTCTATCCTTCAACTGCAAGGCAAGATCAGCTGAAAGATCAGTTTCATAGAAACTGTTTGCTCACAAATATATATCTAACTCTCCAGAAACAGGACAGGACTCAGAGTCTCCCTAGGCAACCTATTCAATGTCACAGCTCTTTTTCTCTCTCTCTCTCTCTTTTTTTTTTTTTTTTTTTTTTTTTTTTTTTTTTTTTTTTTTTTTTTTTTTTTTTTTTTTTTTTTTTTTTTTTTTTTTTNTTTTTTTTTTTTTTTTTTTTTTTTTTTTTTTTTTTTTTTTTTTTTTTTTTTTTTTTTTTTTTTTTTTTTTTTTTTTTTTTTTTTTTGCCTATTGGGTAAGTAAAATCTTCCTTGCTCTAATTTAAATCCATAACTACTTCTCCTACACACTATGGACATGAGCAGATTACTCATAGTCTCCTTGCAACAGCCTGTTATGCATTTGAAGACTTAGACCACATTTTCCCTACTTTTTAAACTTTTCTGATTAATCATATTCTCTAGATCACTCTTTCTTTTGTAGGAATTGTCCTAGTTTAGTCAAATCTCCTTCAAATATGATGGAACACTGTTAGCACCATGACATGGAAGGACTACGCCACTTCACCTGGAATGGTTTTCTGTACACGTTAGTCAGTCCCCTTAACTTCCACAGCTCTCCAAGGCAGTCCAGTCAAAGTCTGCTAGCCCATCTTCTCTCTGTCTTAGGACAAACCTCATTGGGATCTTCGTAAGTAAAGCCACATAGCTGAAACGATGTGATGTCTGCTAATGCATCACATTTCCTCCTTTGCTTGCAGCCATACCCTTAAGCCCATCTGCAGGCATCTGCACCTTTTCAGGTGGTGGGCAATTTGGGCAGGACTTACTAGTGCATTGCCCAGTAAAACCAAGTGCTGTGCTTCATCAGCTCCCACAGCGCTCCTGCGGCACGTGGATGAGCTGCCACGACTGAAGGTGATGTCCCCTGTTCCTCAGAGCTGAGGAGCAGCTCTCTGGCTGTACAGCTGCAGATATGCCCCCACATGCATACTCTTCCACCACCTCTTTACCTTCCTTCACAGTCTGTAATGTCTTGGAGCTCAAAAACTTCAATGTCTTTATCCTGAAGGTCCTTTTCAATCCACCCACACTTTTTGATGATACTGGGAACCTGGCTTCTGCCTTGATACTGCTAGTGATGTACATCTTCGGTGCTGTAACTCCAAATCCCCCTTTGTGTTTTGTTCCATTTTCCCTGTCACACCATGGGAGCTTTATGTAAATATCAAGGTTATTCCTTCTCTGCTTCAGCCACACAATCCACACTGACAAAATGAATGCTATGCCCTGGCTCTATTTACTGCACTACATATAATGGTCTTATTGCTACCTGTGCTTCCATTTCTCTGTCATCCTCATGAACTTAGGATTCATCCTGCTGTAATTTCACTGTGCATTTCCTGGGACAACAGGGTTCCCAGTCCTGCAGTGATCTCTCTGGAGGCTGGTATTATGTTTTCCATAAGGCAGACGCTCTAACGAAGGCATCAAGCACCCTTACTCGTCAGGCAGTTCTCCCTGATGAGATGCCAGACATCCTAGTCATGCCAATTAGAAGGCAGCCAATTTAGAGCCAGGTATCATTCCATAAGAGATGGTATCCAAATGTCCCTTTGATAGTAGGGAACAAAAGCTCTTCATCATAATCTTGAAGATTTTATATGTATCTGTACAGGCAAACTTAGGACAGCAGAGTAGTATCACCTACAGAGGATCAAGAAAGCATGTGCTGCTGGGAGGGGCTTTCTTGTATCTTTAAGCAATTACATTCTACCCTTGTTCCTTTGACTCTTTGCTGCAGAAAGCCAGACAGGCAGCAAGGCAGAGGAAGTGCCTTATCTTCAGAAAAAAAACCCCAAAAAAACCCAAACCACATCAGATGCAACCCACTCAGGATTTCCTACCTCATCCATCAGCCAGAATTACTGTAAGAAGTAGAAGAGGCTTATTCACTATTTATTCTCTTTCCCATTGCCCAGAGGTCCTTTACATCCTCCCACCTCTAATTAGATAAGGTTTCTTGGCAGTATATATGCACCATTGTTCCAGCCAGAAGGATGAAAGGTGGTGAAGTAATTCGGAGATAGTATGGCGAAGAGAGCTGGCAGTTTAAGGTGACCTGAGACTGTCCTATGAAGCTCTTGGTACCCTAAGGGATACAAAGAAGCAAAAAGCTTTCTCAGGAACTGACTATTCTCAAGGGAAGTGCTGCTCACACATCTTTCTGGGTTCATGACTGTCTGATTACCTTGAACAAGCTCTGTCTTATCTAGTCATGGGATAGTCCATGTGCTTTTATGGTTCACCATGTGGCAAAGCACAGCATTTAAGGAACTGGGTAGCCAGAGTGGAACCAAAAGTACTCAAAAGGACAATTTTAATTCCTGCTTCCGCTGCATGTCACATGCACAATAACTGACACAGAAACTCCCAGCTGGTAAATGCCACTCTTGGGGAGATAACAAAGAAGTACAAAATGCAAGCAGTGGTATCCTCCATCCAAAGCTTAGTCAGTTTTGGCAGATCACAGCCTTCACAAATGCCCTGTGTTCCATTTCTCCTTTGTTGAAGCAGGGCTGAGCTTCTTCTTTCCATGTAGCACTTGAGAGATTTTCAGAACAAAACCAAAATCTAAATAATATTCTTCATTTCATATTACAACATGTTATTTTAAACAATGTGCTATTCAACTCATTCCTTAATAACTTCATAAGCTAATAAAGAATATTGCTGGCAGCAATTTGTCTCTCATTCATTCACAGCTTTAACCTCGTGATTGCATCTTTCCCTGGTTTCCTTGGAGTTGGCTTGGCCTCAGGCTTTTTTGAAAGAGAGGAGCCCCTTCTTCCCCTTGGAAGCCACCAACAATGGAAAGATACCAGGTCAGAACTTGTCAAGCCAGTCCATGCATAATGTCACCATGTGTAAAAGCCAGCAATTAATGTAAGCTCCTGAGATCTTCTGCTGCCACTTGAAACCACACCCAGAGGCTGCTGAAGCCTTCCCTTCATGTCCTCTCCACAGCCAACAAACACACATGGGACAGTCACAAGGTCAGCTGTTCTTGCTGCATTCTTCACCACTTCCACAGCTTCCAGACCAACCACTGAGGACAGCTCTGAAGCCAAGTGAATCATAGCCACCTTCTCAATTCCCTCTGGCAGATCAGAATCCCCTGAGCTTTCCTCCACTGAGTCTGAAAGCATCAGGCTGGCTGCCTCACTGGTCCTCTAGAGAGGGGAAACTCCCCTGCTGCAACACCATTTCATGTAGGTGTCTGTTTCTCCTAGTATCTTCCTAAAACAACTTCCTTTTTTTCCCCTCAGACTAAAGCTCTGATCTTACAGATGAAATTTCTTCTGCCTAAATATTGTGGAAATATCACTTCTCAGTGATATTTGGATATTATCCTGTAATGTGTGTCAGACTGGTTGTATGAACAATAAGATGAAGATAATACATTAATCTTAATGTACAAAAGGAGATATGATTGACTTGTTATTGTGCATAGGTTTATACACACACAGAGGAACTGAAAGAAAAAGACATACCTACTTCTGTCTATTGACAGACAGATATACTTCATGTATTCAAATGTACCTCTCTGTGTGTGCTGCTTATACAGATAAATACCACAAAGACGTATTTAACCATTACCCTGAGATTTAGGGATTAACTTTGTATGTTTTAGAGATGGCCTCAGATTTCTTTAAATATGATACCTGTTCTCTTTACATCTAAAAGCCTCTGTGCACACAAATTGTAGCAGAAGTTCTTTATGACATGGAAGTCATATACTTGGAAAAGAATATCTTATGCCTGCAAGGACTGCAAAGAGTGGTTATTCTTGCTGCACATGTGTGCAGGTGAAAGGTCAGAGCCAGAATTTAGAGTCTTTTGAAAGTCAAACCACTAACACCAAGCAAAGCTAGCTTATGGATTCCCTGAGTGTTTTAAAAGCAAACATACTCTAAACTAATCCAAACAGCTTTACACAGGGAGATAACACCCTCTGTATGTAAGTGTCATTGTTTTATAACACTGCTTATGCATGCATATTTAATTCCACACTGTTGTATCTTCACTTGTTTATAAAACTCCAGTTATTTTAAGAAGGGCTTTACAAATGCATATAGCATTTAGAGTCCTGAGTACATATTTCCCTTTGTTTATTAAACTACTACATGCATTCATGTCAGCATGCACACTCAATTCCTTAATTTCAGGTAAAACTATTCTAAAGATTTGGTTAAGTATTTCTGACACTTCTTTCTTCCCTAAGCTGCTCTGAGAGGTATTTGACTTTTGACTAGATCTATACCACCAATGCCAGAAGAGTCTTTTTTACACAAGAAACTGCTGTTTGCATCAAAGTCTATTTCACTGCTGGAAAACAGCCATGTTGCAAAATAGACTGACACAACTGAGAAAGCAACTTCTTTTTTGGGGGAAAAAAAACAGACAGCTTGTTTTTCAGCCATGGCCTGGACAGCATTAAAGCAATGTCTTTTTGATGTAGAGAAAAACACTTCTCTTGTCATTCCAGAGCCTGTATTTACCAGACAATACACACCAATTTCATTCACCATAACATCCATCGTTCTTCCTTGAGCACTTTTGCTCTTTTCAGAGGATGTCTACCCACTACAGCTCCTCAGCCACTGATTTTTGTTTATCCTAATATGCAGATTCAGACAAGTATTGCTTACTTGTTTTGCTGTTGTAATAACCTGTTAACAGATGGTAATTGTTTCTGCCCTTTATAGGATTTATAGCAAAGTGTATCAACTCCAAACAATGCATCTTAACCTTTTAAAGCTTGCAAGGACTTGTGCCTTTAGCTCCAGAAACTTAAAAATTACTCCTCCTGGGGTGACTAATTTCACACAGGCATTAAAGGCCTCCCTTATAGCCTGAGGGAGGGAAAGCAATCCCTCATTAGTTCCCCAGAAAGCTCTGGGGAGCAGGAGTGATAAGCCAGCATCCCATCAGCTCTCCCGTTCCTTTGGTACCAAGAGTGCTGAAAAGCAAAAATGTGAACTGAATGAACCACATTGCTCCTGCTGTCCTCAATGACACAGCAAACTGACTGTTTTGAAATGTATGTGCATGAGAATGGAACTGAATCCCCTTGTATCACCATTTCACAGTTTGTCTTCTTGTTCAGCACACAGATTTCCTAACATGCAGTGGGAAGAAACTCCCTGACAGCATAAATACACATCATGTCCTGATGTTGACCACAGCTCTTTGAAAAGGTTGATGAACTCAAGGGCTAGGAGAATAAAGTAAAAAAAAAAAAGAAGCATCCAAGCAGATCCGTAAGCCAGAGATACCTGATAAGACACATGTGGGGCCATGTTGATTGTGTTTGCCAGATTTCTCCTATTTGCAGTTGAAAAGACATAGTCCTGACTCACTGAACTGAGGGAAACTTTTCAAAGAGCTTAAAATTATGTTTGGGCAGGTCTATTGCCCTGCCAAGTCCTCACTGCATCCCATGACTCTCCTATGCCTCACAGAGGGACATGATTTTTGGGGTCCTGTGCAACTTTTCACAATAAAGCTGGTGTGGTTCCAGGGCACTCAGAGGAGGTGGGCACACCTCATTCACCTGTGACTTTAGGTGGCCAGGTCAGGCTGATGTGGCAATTAGGCACAAGGAGGTGATTGGTCAGGTGTCTAAAGGAAGAAAACTAATTGCCATCACAGACCAATCTGAACCATGATTTTAACCCCTCAGACCATACAGATTTGGTGTAATACTTACAGGGAGAGGGGAGCAGAGCAGGACTTATTAACCCTGTTCCAAACTCCAGGTGCATGCATCTCTATCAGGGAGACCAAGGCACAGCCTACAGATCCTATTTTGCAGAGGGCAGTCCTGCATCTCAGGGTAGAGTCTCCTTCATCCTAGGGCTGAGGAGCCACAGGAGAAGCCTGAAGGAGAAATGTGCCCCCTGGCTTCATTTCTTCCCCTTCTTCCTTCTCCAGCACTCATTATCTTTCACTGCAAGAAGACATTCCAGTCCATCTGCAGGCACTTTGGGACTCAGCAGAAGGGATGTGATAAAGGGCTGTGTGAGGGAACACTGGTACTCCCACTGCTTTCCTCCATACCCTGCCAGAACAACCCTACTATGCTAGGTCTTCTCCTTTCTTGTCCCAGTATGACCCTCCCCAAAATCTCAGTCCATCAGAGATGTGGGCTACTACAAATAATCAACTAAGGGCAACATAGAGAGGAAAACGCCTTTAAAGGAGTGTTGGGTTACATATGTATCTATCTCCTGCCCAGGGTGTGGGGAGGCTCTGGCTGGAAGGCTGTGGGGACCCCATCCAGCTGTGGATCTTAATGAATCTTCCTTTATGAGGGCTGGGAGAACATGAACATGGCCAAAGTCCTGCAAAAATGTATATGATGCTGCAGCAGAAGACAACTGGAATCAGATGTCACTTAGGACATCAGTAAGTTGCCTCTGGGGCCAGGGAGAGACTTTTGTCACCCTAGAGGACAAGTGGCGTCCTGTGCCCTGAGATCTTCTTCTGTTTTGGTGTTTCCCTATTCCAAAGCTCAGAGACAGACCCCCATCAGAGAAGAGCAACCAGGAAGCTCTGCAATGGCACAGAGACAGCCTATTATTTACTTGGCCAGCATCTTCTCACATTCGTAACATCAAACCCATGCCCATACAGGTCCAGGACAGGGAAGACTTTTCTTCCACATATCAGAAGACCTAAAGATTTATTTTTTCCCCTCTCAGCTGTTCTCTGAAGTGATGATCAGAGGTCTCCTGCCAGAACTGCTCGAGTGGGCTTCACCTAACTTGTTTATTGTCATTGAAAAGACCCCAGACAGTGGTGCCACTTACAGTCTTTTCTGTTCTAGTCCACAGTGTATAATTAGTCTCCAGAGGTCTGATTTTTTTTTTTTTTTTATCTCTAACCCAATTATATAATACAGACAACAGGGTAAAATAGAACAATCTGCAATATACATGTTCTTATGGTCTCTTCTGGCTTTGAACTCCAGGATGCTTCAGGGTTGTTAATTTTTGTTTTAAACAAGGAATGAGTAATGATAAAGACAGATAAATGAATAAGAAAACCTCACAGAAGGCAATAAATAAGTGGTGTGTTTACCATGGCAAGCAGTGATAGGGCCTCACTGCATTTCTGCTTCCATGCTATGGTGAAAAAGAAGGTCTAGAGGCCTGAGTCACTTGTCACACACAGGGCACTACACTTAATACGTGCTTTTGGATTTTGAATTGCCATGAAGCAGCTCTAAATGGGGACACTTAGTGGCTTGCTATTTCTGTTTTCCAATACATGCTAGTGTACTTTATTTTTTGAGTGTCACTTTGAACATCCTTTAAACAATACTCTGAAATTCAAAAATCAGAGGTAAAAATATCTTATTCTGTCTGCTGTTTCTTCCCTGCTGTCTTTTTGAAGGGAAAATAAGGGAGCAACTTCACTGAAGGTAGAGCCATCAGCTCATGCGCACCCAGCAGACATAACAGTGCTGCCTCATGCTCTCTCACAGGTATAGTCACTCTTTGCAAGTGAAGGTTAACTTCATAAACTTGGGAGTCTTACCAGGCACTTTACAAGCAGTTGACTGTTTTTCCAAGTCTCTGTCTTCATTTCTGAATTCAGGAGAGTCAGTAGCTTTGTCCTGCTTCTCCTTGCTTGCAGTAATGTTTGGAATGGTTATGCTTTGCAACACTGGCTTTTTAGGCAATGGAGGTTTGCAACTAAGCTGTTCAGATGACTTTGCTTTGGGTTTGATCTTCTCCTTTAAAGAATCACCAGTATTTGTATTGGCTGTTTTTCTGATCTCTGCCTTATCACCTTTTAAAAAGGAAGACAATGCCCCATTTTCTAAATTAAATTCTGCACTGTATCTTTTAATCCCTTTTGATTCTGGTGGTGAGTTGTCTTCATATTTCAAGGACAGTGAGGTGGATCTAAGTTTCACTTGAAAAGGACTTCTATCTTTACAACTTGGCTGATTCTGAGATACCACTGAAGAATTGCTTGGCATTGGTACTGGATCAACAGCTGGGGAAACATAACTGGCCAAACTTTCTGTAGGTTGGCCTGTGTTCTCAGAGTGGGACTCTGTCAGCAAAGCCTCCTTTTTGCTGCTACTTTTCTCCTCGTCCAGATCTGATCCCTTCTGAAAGTCATCTTGCCACTTCTCATTTCTTGAGGAGACCTTTGCTTTGGACAGGAAGAATCCAGTATTTAATGGGCTTTCCGACTCTGATCTTTCTGGGAAATACAGGCTTCTGATGCTTGGTCTCTCCCATGCAGAGGAAACAGAAAACTTTTTGAAGGCATTGAGTTCATTGACTGCTTTTACAGCTTTCTTCCCCAACTGTTCCTCCCTGTGGACCAGGGACTGACTGTTCTCCTTATTAGAAGCAGTTGCCTCCTGTGCAGTCTTTATCTTCTCTGGAGAGCAGAATGTAGATGATCCCATCTGCATTGAGGAAGCAGGATGTGAAACATGGAATGAGTCTGTGGGCTGGGAAGGACCCATGAAAAAATCCTTGCTGGACTCTGATAATAGGGTAAACTCTTTGTCTTCCCCTTTATTGCAGGGCATTTCCACAGGTAACTGATCATCCTTCTGTTTATTTTCTTCTGAGCTTCCCAAGCAAACAATATTATTCTTACTAATTGAAATGTTTTCTTCAGAAGGTAATTTATTTAATGGAAACACAGTAGGAAGCTCCTTATTTTCTTGATTTACGATATTGATTGATCCATCTCCAGACAACAGAACAAGCGTTTCTGAGGAATCTTCTTGCTTTTGTACTTCTCTGTTTGAACTGGAATAGGAAGAAGTTACAGAGTCTTTGCCTTCTGAGGGCAGTGAGGACTCAGACTCCTCACATGTAATTTCCAGTGCTGGTTGGCAGTCCTCTGGCTTATTCTCTGGTAGCAGGGTTTCCTGTCCGACAGCAGACTCGGAAACAGACTGAGTCATCACTGGTCTCAAAGCAGGGGGGAGGTCCTCAGGCATTCTGGGCTTTGGCCAGGAAGCCACATCCTGCATTGCAGCTGTGCTGCATGGCAGTTCTTGATTGTTGGGTTTGAAAACAGCATCATCCTCTTCTTCTTCTTCCTCTGGGGTACAGCTCAAATCAGTCAGAGATTCAGACTGGGTCCTCTGTAAAAAAGAAATCCAGAAAGCCCCATCACCATGTACAGCTTCACTTTTTTTCTTATTCACCATTACATTTACAGCTGAGATCTTTGAGAGGAAGGCAATACTTGCCTCCAGTGCTGAGCTTGCAGTTTCCTTGACCTACAGACTGGATGCTTTTTTAATTAAGCAGATCCTGGAATAATGTATTTAACCAATATAAAAGCAATGTGTGACATTTCCTTCTGCACAACTAGTGCTTTCATGCCCTTGTAGATGGGAAATCCATCAGAACAATGGCTATTGGACTGTCCTTGGCAATTGATTCTCCAGAGCATACTGCCTATGTTGTGCTGCTCTTGGGCAAAAAGCAACACTTGAAAGAGAAAAATCTGTCTCTTTGTATTTTGCTACTTCATACTAGCATTAAAAATAAAACATCCCACTCTTCCTTAAGCATGATTCTGAAGAGGAAAGGGTACATAGAAGCAAGAGCAAAAGCTTAATAAATCCATCCTGTTATGGCAACCTATTCCAGCTGAGTATCTGCCCCATGTGGAAGTCTTTTTTCTAATCCCACTGTCATACAGCATTACAGCCTTGCTTCCTTTGTGTCAAAGTTTTCTTTTTCTTTCAAGAGTTAAACTATTTGATAAAAGTTTATAAATTAATATAATTTAAAATAATATAAAAGTTTATATAATTAATATATAGTTTATAAAAGTTTATAAATTCATAAGTAGTTATCTGTGAGGTCTTGTGATTAAACTTGATGTGAGGACTGGCTAAGTATACAGGATTATTTGAAAGCACAGTACTGAGCTGCTGAATACGCCTTTTCATATGGTGCCTGTATTAGCTCACTGTTTCCCCATAGTTGGTTGGGTAAATATATACTTTGGATCTAGGCCCTAATTCTAAGAACACAAAACCTGCACTTTGAAGATATTTTAAGGTGCTTACAATTTCTTGTTTTGCAAATGCAATTGCAAAAAAACCCCAGTTGCAATGCCACCTGCATTCACAATCCATATACACAAGAACATAAAAGCAGAAAATATCAGTTAGCCAGAAGCAAGGAGCGCAGGCAGACTGGGGCAAGAAAATATTAAAAATTGTTTTATCAAAACATGTGAACACTCTCTGTGGGAATCCAGAAGGGCTCAGTCAGCTGGCAGTTATAGGCAGTCTGGACAAAGCAATCATATTTTAGTAACAATGTTAGAATGGAAAAGAAGGATTGATCGCTGAATTATTGCTTTATGTGTTTTTCTAAATAACTGGCCTTATCATTGTGCTGCTCACAGCAGTGTTCTACCAAGCTGAAAGGTCACTCACAGATTTGGAGAAATACAGAATATCAGCTAGTAATATTTTGAGACAGAGGGAAAAATATTTCTGGTAGTAAGCAAGCCAAATTAATGGTTTTACTGTATTTAAAACATTGCAAAAAACCCATGAACAGTAAAGTATAAATTCTGTAGTAAAAGTTTAAAGCTTTAGTGCTAAAAGAGAGAAAGAAAAGAAAGAAAGAAGAAAAACTAAGCTATGTCCTTCAGAAAATATGACAAGGGATCAGATAAATTGTGTTTAGGATGGTTTAGAAAAAAAGATTTTTTAAAAAATATTATACACTTTTTAATAGCCTTTTTAAAATAGTATGCACTTTCATTTATCATATCTGAGTTTGAACTAAAAAGTCCAGTAAGAGCTTTCTGGGTTTGTGTCAAAAGTGAGACAGTTTATTTTCACATGTACCTGAGAAAATTTTCTCATTCTACTGGATCTCTGGTTCCGTGGTTTTATTAAAAGCTTATGTTTAGCAGCAGAATTATCCAAGAAAGCAGAAAGCTCAGGTGGAATGTCAAAATTGGCTGTAGGGGAGATGGTACTGTCAGATGTCTGGGGAGACCCAGTTTTGGTACTTCCATGCCTAGTGAATAGCTGACCGTCTGTAGAGCGAGATCTAGAAGAACTCAGTGTAACCTGAAAAAAAAATTATCCCCAAATGGAGAATCAAACAAAGAAACAAAGACACAAAAATAGCAATTCTACAAATAGGTAGGCATATTTATTACCATTTTAAGTTTTTCTCTTTTTCTTTTTGACATTTCTTTAAAATGCATTGCATTTCCTAATGTTGCATGTGATGTACTTGTGTTAGCAATTCTGCATTTTTAGTTACTTGACTATTATGATCTACTGTCCAGTAGGAAGGAGCAAATCCCATCTAAAGAACACAAATACATGGACAGCATGTTTTAGAAGACAGATTTATGAAGAGTACTCAGTTACAGAACAAAAAGGGCCATTTTCCCTTCTGGGTCTGTCCTCCAGCATCTTTGTCAAGGCTACTATCCACAGTTGTCTGGTGCTGAGCATCTTTAGCTTCCTGAATGTCAACAGGTTCTTCCAACTCCACAATACCCTCCCCCAAAGACAAAAAAAATGAAGAATTAGTGGCATTGACAGTTAAGTCAGCTTGCATTTTTACCTCATGTATTTATATCTGCATTTACAGGAAATGTAAAGTTTCAATAGTAGACTATTCTGGGGAAGGAAGTGATGGACAATTTCTACTAGAGGCAAATAACCCATCTAGAAACAGCTCCTGAATGCTGCAAGGGGTGTCATACTTTCAGCTTGCCTGTGAGCTTCAACAAAAACTACCCTAGTTCCAGGGATGATGCAAAAAGAACACTGGAAAATTTATTAAAAATAAATAAACTCTAAAAAGGGTTCCTCCTTCCTTTCAGATTCAGTTTTGTAAATAGGAAAAATGGTATTTCCAAACTCTCTGTCACAGCATTAACATGACCTCTGACAACTCATGACAGCACTCCCTTTGTAAGCTTGAAATTCTGGTTCATTTCTTTGGAGATTTCCTCCTTTGTCATGCTTTCTTCTGTGGGCATTCTTCTTTCTTCTTCTTTCTCTATTTCTGGAAGTGGTATTTTACTAAGGAAGTTGGATGGGAGAAAGGCAGGTCAGGTTGGTGTACATTTTATTTTGGAAGGGAAAAAGCATCAGCAATTTCTGCAAGTAGAAATCTGCAATATGCACTTCAGCCCGAAGATACTCTGTAGTGTAGTGAGGGTCTGCTACAGCTTGCTCAATGGTCAAGGGGAAAACTCCCATTGATTTTAGCAGAGGCTGGATCCACACTTTCTAATAATAGTTTCTACCTAAGAAAAAGAAGGTAGCTCAGACATGCTGAATAATGGATGCTCTCATTAATTTTAACTCTACAATATCTGCAGTCTAGTAGTCAAACATGACTAATGTACAACAACCAATAGGTGGCTGCATTATATATTAGTACCTAACAGTGAATACATTGACATTTCAGCTCCATGATAAAAACACAGCATATGTTCTCTTTCAAAGCGTGTCATTATTTGCCTGCCTTTCTTCTGGCTCCTGCTTTTCCTCGAGAACTTTGCATGTCTTCTCCTTGGCAGTGCTCAGTGTTGGCCATTACACCAGAAAAATCCAAAATCTGATTTCTTATTTAAATTTCAGCAGCCTAAGTGAATGCTAGCTCTGAGCCAGCTGAAGAAGTTGTTTGTCCCACAAAGCTTGGCTTTGACAAAGCTTGCTGGAGAAGGAAAGAGCTGGCAGACCCCTTTCTCCAAATCTCATGTGCACATGGCTCAGTCATCCTTCAGCTGGTCGTGCTGGGTGGCACAAGGTAGGGGGCCAGGAGGAAACCCCATCCCCAAGCCCAGACAAGAAAGTTATGATTCCTTTCTTCAATCCAGAAAAGCTGCCAAGACACAGCAAGGTGTCACTGTTGCCCAAAACCTCAGGACTGGGTTGTGCAAAATTCCTCAGCCCTGTGAACTGGTCTCCTCTGACTTCTAGAAGCAGGGCTAACTTCTCCAAAATGCCAGGTAGTAGATCCTGTGGCTTGGGAGGAAAGACTTTAGATGGAACTGCATTCTGGCTGCACTCTCAGACTGGCATGGGTTGAAGAGAACTCTGAGCTAAATGATGGGGCATGTGGAAAAAGCTAAACAGCTGTGTAGTCACTGCCACGACTCAGGAGTCAGCAAGTGAGTCAGAAAGTAATGTTAATGCAACAACAGGGAGACATAAATCCTCTTTTAGCAAACATGTGTCTGGGCTGGGCACAATTACAATGAGCCCATAACAGCTTTCAAGAAATACTTCCTTCATGAGTTCTGTTGTTTTTATTTTAAGACTAATAAAATTGCACTGCATATAAGCAGTATTTTCAAACAACTTCATGTGGAATCTAAGAAGTAAGGCCAGAAATCTTTGCTGAGCCCTGCTGCAGCTGGTCCTGAAATACATTTTGCATAATTACCAAGAAATGGTCAGCTCAGGACTAATTTCTCTATTTCATTTCTGCAATTTCCCTCCACCCTTCCTCCTATTCCTAGAAAATGCTCTTCCCTCTACCCCCTGTGTTGTTTCAACCATAACTGCAGCTACAGACAGCTAAAAGGGACTCTCCAGAGCTTTCCAAAACAGCCCTTTAATCAGACAAAATGGCTGGATTCTGATTGAAGAAAGCCATCCATGTGCCTATAGTTGAGCTCTGAAAAACATCACTTCAGCAAAATTCACAGCCACAATCCCACTGAAGGCTGAACTCAGACTAAGCAGCAATGTCAGCCACTATCATCAGGCAAACACTTTCTGTGTCAGTGTGAGGTAACTTTGTACTTAAAGCAGGGTCTGGGCATGTTTCAGAGGATCTAGAGTTGTTCCCATCTCTTCAATAAACTTTCTTGCTTATCCTGCATGTAACTCAAGCAGCCTTTACTGCAATTTCCCATCTTGGAAAAAATGGACGCTACTTCAGTGTCTAAATCTGGTTGATTGTGCTTGGAGATTAAATCATGTCTATAGAGTTTGCTAAAGGATATGAGCTTTTCTAGAGACATTAATTATTATCAATGGGATAATAATGGGATGTCTTTTCATCAGAATTACGTTGATAAATAATCATAGTTTGTTATGTTAGACAGACACATTTAAACAACAAACAGACAGGCAAGCAATTACATGCATGCAAAGTTGTTTTTTCTGCAGTAGACAGGCAACAAAATACATTTTTTTAGTATTTCTTTTAAAAACTATGAGTAATTATTTGTCCCTTAATACATTTGGCAGAAGTTACCTGTTCTTCTTCTTCACTGCCTGTTCCAGCTAAACTCAAAGAGCTAAGATGCTTGTGAGAGTCAGAGAACTGTGGGATGGAATGAGGAAGAGATTCAGTAAAAGATGACAAACAAGGTGGATATAATTGCAGAAACCATCTACACAAAGTGCACAAAAGTACTGACAATGTAAGTTGTTTTTCTCTACAATCTTAAGGATTAGCAAGGACGCTGCAAACATAAAGTGTAAGACATGCAGATAAAGAATGAAATAATGTCTAAGAAAACTATCTTTAAGAAAAATCGGATTATTTTATGTTTCTTTTCCCAATGGCAACCTAGAAGAACATTAGAGAGTTCCCTTATCAACACACACAAGGGGGAATACAGATTTTTCAGCCTTGTTTTTTTATGCCTGGCAGTTCTTTGTAGTCTATAAAAAACACAGCATTCCCATTCATGCACACAATCACATACTCTTCTTTCTAGTTCTGCATTTTCTGGTGTGATATTTATGTTTTAATAGGAACACAGATTCTAAGTAGCTGTTTACAGAGAGAGTTTTCCCAATTCAAGTAAAGCATTTCTGAATTGCTCAGAGGTAAAATAGGGATACGTAAAACCAAATACTTTATTCTGCCATCCACATATAGGTAAAACAAGTTATTAAACATTCATTTTTGTCAACACTGGAACTACTTACTTTTGTTCTCATGCCTGAGCTTAGGCTTTCATGAAGCAAAGACATTTCTGGAGGGCTCCTGGGTAATCCATCATCTTCAGAACTGGTCCCGGTATCCTCTGTTCGCTTTGCATGAAGTCCAAATGGAGGTGGAGGTCCCAATTTCATGGTAGGCTGGAGTTTCAGCTTCAGCATGGCATAAAATACATTAGCTTGTGATAGTGATAGAGGTTTCCCCAGGACATTTTGTTAGCTGGGGTCAATGAGTTACCATTATTTTAACTTCACAACTGAATGATCCAGGCCACAAGACATCTGACTTTACACATTCTCTTAGGGAACCAAATAAACTACCCATTTTTCAGCTATCATTTATGTAGAACCAAAATGGGATACTGCTGTCTAATTAACAAATGCAACATTTGATGTAAACTCCAGACAGACATTACTTACTAATCAAACATTCAACCACAAATACTATAAAAAAAATCAAGCCTGGAAAGACATTCCATCTCGTGCATTTGAAAAAAAAATTATACTGTCTAAATTACCTGTAAAGCTCTAATCCGATCAGAAATGTTTTCTTGAGAAAACACTCTTACTGGCCTTGCAGCCTCTTGCCCAGTCTCAAGGATGAAAATGCTATCATGTGATAGAGCTCTGCTTCCCATAATGCCTTTATGTGTCCTAGAATAATATAACAAATGAGTGAAAACATGCAAACTTCTTGCCATTTCTCTTAACTCAAGGGGTCTACTGAATGTGGAATGGGAGACAGGGATGTACAGCATCACAAACAAGATTCCAGACTTCCCCATGGATACAGCCATTCAGGATAACCTAAGTAATACCTTTAAAAACAACCAGACAAAAAATTGTAAATGCTGTTATCTGTCAGGTTAACAAACTGAATCAAGGTTAAAGACAGTTTAACCCCAGAAGATGAGTTATGTCTTATGGAAAAAGCTACTGCCCCTTGAGTGGAAGCCAGCAGCTGGGTGGTGTCACAGTACCACAGGCAAGCCCAGGTGCAAAATGGAATTCATATAAATGAGTCTGTACTGAGACTTCTTGCTAATGTAAGACCATGTCTTGCAAATAAGTGACCATTGCCATAGGAACAATAAGGACCTTTACTATCTAAATGTGGTACAGCATTTAATATATTTCTGCCACATAGATCATTAGCAAAAAACATTTCAGGCAATGTACGGATGCATACATTTATGGATGCATAAATTTCATCCTCTCATGGAATCCTTTGCATAAATCCTTAAAAGGTGCTGTGCTCTAGATCAAGGTCCATTGAATTTTCTCTTATGAGCCTTTGGGACACATTTTTTCATTGACAAGCTTTGTGGCCTAGCTGGGGAAGTAGGAGATGCTTTGTGGCCAGTTTCTCTCATATTCTCTTTCCTACTTCTGACATATATGTGATGTAACTTCTTTTTGAAGTGGTGCATGTGGGGTGTGAGCACCTTGCTTCCTCATGGGAATGGTAGAGGAGGCCCACATACAGACAGCTACCTGCTAGGAGGTTTCTTGTGCTCATTTTCCTCAGCTTAGCTCATACCCTTACTGAGAAGGAACAAGAAATGTGTGCACACAGTATTTTTTAAGAGTACCTGTTTCAAAATTTTTAAATCAGGGAGCTATGAAATGGTAAATGAGTGCAGAATAGATAATTGTTTGGGTTTATGTAACTATCACATGAATTGTGCAGAAAAGAAAAAAGAACTGTATTTCTGGATCCTAGATACTGTCATAGGGACATTGAAGAAACATAAACAATCATGACAGACAGTAACATTTTCCTCATAGTGGCTGCTATAAATAAATTTGATAAAACAATAGCAGGAAAGAGTTGATCTAACATTCTTGCTGCAGAAGGAAGGAAAGCCTGCTACTTCTGCTTAATGCATTAGAGACATTAGAAGAACAATTCATCTGAGTGCAAATGTGATCTCTGTAATGCATCCAAGGTCAGACAGATCTATAGCAATTTGCAGAGTAGGTGCCAGTCAGGGCTGCAGGGGTGCCCCATGCACCAGCACTCAACAAGGAAGGCAGCAACACAGGCAGTGTTGCTGCATGGGCACATTATCCCAGCATTCCATCCTCATTTCCTCTTTCTAGCAGATGCATCCCTTCCAGACACATAATGGAGGTACCCTGCATGTCTCCTCAGATTAAAAGTGTTCAAATTAATTTTCCTTCCTTTCAAATAATTTCCTGGTCTTTGTCTGTCTAAAATATTAAAAAAACAATAGTGTAACAACGTTTCAGGTTACAGCACAAGAATATAGCCAGAACAGCCACAGACAGCACCCACTCAGACATGACCTTGTTAAGCCACACACAGGGGAAATAAAAATCTTACCATCCATGTCTTACAAGATGTAATAAATTGTCGAACAACAGCACCTCACACCACCTGGTGCTGTCAGCCCAGAACTCCAAGGGCTTCAAGCTCAACTAACTAATATTACTATTGCCAATGCCATGAAAGCAAAAAGGAAAAGAAAAATACAAAACCATCAAAAAAGAAAAAAAAAATTGCTAGTAATTTCTTCTGGTTGTTTGGCGCTGCCTGGTGGCCACATCGAATAATGTCGTTTTAAATGGCCAGGATAATTTCCTTTCCCATTCCTGGGCACAGCAGCAGCCCTCGCTTGAGGACCAGGAGGCTTGTTCTGAGAGGCACAGCATACACCAATGCAAAGACTTGCTTTTTAGTTATCGAAGGGGCTCTTCAGTCCACCTCTCTGTCCAGAGACATATCTCAATGTTTGGATTGGCTTCCTCTTGGTTACTTTTCATAGTGGGTAACATGAAGGCAGGGTTATCTGAGGCAAAGAAGTACACAGGATGGGACTCATCTAGTCTAACCTCAGACATCAAATTGCAGCCGTTTACACTGGAGGTGGTTATCCCAGGCTCCTGTTTACATTCAGTGGGGAGATATAGCCACCTCCAGAGCCTATTTCATGCATAAGGGTGGTACAGTCTTCATTAGTAATGCTGACTTCTCTCCGATTATAAAATGCAGCTGGTAGGTAACAGTCCCTGTCCATGGTGGAGAGGCTGGAACTGGATGATCTCTAAAGACCCTTCCAACTCAAACCATTCTATGAGTCTGTGGTTCTAGAACTCAAATGCAGACATTTTTCCTTTGGTCAGATGAATCCCATGGATACAGAGGAAAAAAAATGCTTCAGAGCCTCTGGTTCCTCCTTATTTCAGTCACAGTCATCCAATTACTCCTTCCTTGCTTTCAAACCCTGGCATAAATGGTTAGTCATCTGACTTTCTCTAACAATCCTTACTAGTTACATTTTAGGGGCAACAGACAATCCTGGTAGGATATAAACCAATTATCTAATTCATTTTTGAAGATGGGAATTACATTCTAACCCAAGGCTTATTTATGATTAAATGAAAGCTTTTTTCATTAATATTTCTTGCTACACCCCACACAATTCCCTTCTGATTAGCCTTGCATCAACCATTTTAATTTGTACTTTCTTGGGAAAAGCAGCTGTTTGAAAATACAGCATTATGAACAAGGTGAGGAGGCAATTTTGGGGTGTCTTTAATCTACAGACATTGTAAAATTTTGTATTTGTTTACCAAATAGAGTCTAAAGACTTACTCAAGTTCATCTTCAGAATCATAACTAGTGCGCATGTCATGAGAGGCTGCGACATCATTTGTTGACTGGCACAACTTCAGACTGCTGGTCACAGAAGATGTCTCTTTCCTTTTCTTTTTACCAAAAAACTTTTTGAAAGATTTGAACTTAGATTTTTTCTTTCCTAAGTGAAGAAACATAATGAAGAAACATAAACCAGAAGCATGTGCAAATTTTTGAAAAATAACATTTCTTTATAATTTCTTTGCATAAGTGGATTTTTTCCTGGAAAATGTAACACAGTCCACTGTTGCATCAATGTCTTTCAAGACTCTATGGATAGCATGAAATTAGTGTTATCTTGGAGAATGGATTACAATGTTTATGAGACACAAGAAGTAACCAATGGTGTAGGATCACTCCTAATAGAGTTTCTACTTGCCTCTTGAGGTAATTAAACTGTAAAGGAAAAATTTTGTCTTAACTGCTTGGGATATGAAAAAGAAATTATTACTTGGAAACCCACTGCCTTTGTTCAGCAAGCTAATAAGTGATGATAAGAGCAATGCTACCAAAACCAATTTAAACATAGAAAAGGCATATATAGGTGAATGCACAGTGTTGGGAGGCTAATGATTTTAAAATGTTTATAATACTTCGAGAATATTTTTAATGCTGATTACAAGATTCAATGGATCACAAAGTATTCATCTAAGGATAAAGCAATAATCTTGAAAAGCAATTCTAGTCTGCTCAGTGAGGAAAGACCTAAATTAGGATCAGTTGCAGCTCTGTGAAGGAAACTATTTCAAATTAAATCAGTGTTTTCCACAAGAATTCCAACAACTTGTGCCTGGCCTGTTTAAGTTGACATGACAGTACCACGAGGCATCTTGTTGGGTAAAAAAGTTAGCCTGGTCACAAGATGCTATAAAAATCTTATTTCAAGCCTCTGAAAATGCTGAAAACATGTAACAGCTCTTGGAAAACGGTGAAGAGAAAGGCAGAATGCATTCTCTAAACAAACAAATTGGCTTCTATAATAGAGCTAAGCCATAGAAGCTCAAGAAGTCACAGCACTTTTCATTCACCAGGGAAGGGACAAATTATACCTGAATTGTCCTCTCCATCTCCTTCAGCATCTCTCATCCTAGGGTCCATTGTCCTTGAGGAACTCATGTGGCAATCACTAAAGGTGGTACAAAAAGTGTTAGCTGTACCAACAAAATAACAGTACTTTACTATATATGTGTACACATACATACAGCAAGTTGCTAAAATATAAATATATATATAATAGAATATTACATGTATGCTTATATAAGTCTCCATAGATGTTTAAACATGTATGTGTACATTATATATAAATATGCATTAAATGTACATAATATATAAAAATATCCCATCTGGTACCTATTAGGCTCTAGAGAGTTATAATAGATTACACAGACTATTTCCACTTTCAGAAGACAACAGTACATGACAGTTTAGCCGATGCTTCTAAAAATATGTATCAGGGGATGTGGGCATCTTTGATTCTCCCTTTCTCAGCCCATTTAGGACCAGAGACAAAACGACAAAATTACAGCATTTAAGCAAGTGTACCAGTAACAATAGTAGAGAATCCCATGTATTTTCCCCTTACTTATATTGAACTTGAAGTATTCTACAGATTGTGGTTTTTCTTTCTAAAAAAACTTGGGGAAAGGTAGTGATTCTTCCCATTCCTTTCTTTTTGGATAGATAACAGAATTAAGGAGAAATAGTAACAGAGAAATCCAAGTAAAAATAAAACAATGGATTTTCTTATTTTCTTCTCTTTTCTTTACTTTTTGGAAGCAAAGTATTACTTTGCTTATTAAGTTTCCTAAACTAAAAAATAATTGCAAACTCCGTGTCCAAAGCCTGAAGACATTAGATCTGTAATTTAAATTCTATTTTTTGCGCAGTAATCTGTTTGTACTCTCTTTTCTTCATCTGGAGAGCCATAATTTCATGGTCAAGTGAGAATAAAGTCATGTATGCCACTGACTGGATAGTGAGTTGAATGCCGTAGAGTCACTCTTTGGGCTGTAATGGTGGTAGATTGCCACAACCTGGAGTGAGTAGACTGTGGCTAGTTTGATCCACTGTAGTACTGGGAGACTTAAGGAATAAGACTTGTAGATCCAACAAGCTGGTGAAATGGAAATGAAACCTTTATTACTCAAATCTAAAACACAACACATCACCTGAGCCATCTGCAGCCACTTGAGCTGAGCCACAGTGCAGGGCTGCAGGATTATAGCAAAGGCACCTGACTGCCTGGCAGCTCCAGGGCTGCTGCACCAGTCAGACCCACAGCTTGGGTGTGAAACACCCCCTGCCACCACCCACTGGGTACTAAATCAAAGTTCACACAAACATGAGGGTGAGCAACTTTTGGTCAAGGGCATCTGCCTGAAGTATGGAGAATTAATAAGAAATTTACCCTAGGGGGGAAAAAAAAAATGGATGAGGGTGGTGAAGCACTGGGAACAGGTTGCCCAGAGAAGCTGTGGATACCTCACCCCTGGAAGTGTACAAGATCAGGCTGGATGGGGCTTTGAGCAACCTAGTTGAGTGGAAGGTGTCCCTGCCTATGGAAGGGAGGTTGGAACTAGGTGTTCTTTAAGGTCCATTTCAACACAAACAATTATATGATTCTAGGATACCTTTATTTTTAAAGTAAATGTCCACTGGGAGGTGACAGATAAATATGTATAGTGGGCTGTGGCACACCTAGTCAATTGTTAAAGAGGGTGTCTCAGATTCCTGCTGTCACGTTGCAGTAGCAATGGCAGGAATGTAAATCAATACCTTTAAAGCTTCAGCTGCTTTATGCATGCCCTGTAGCATCTATAAGCTACACACATCCAGAAGTGGGAGTCTACAGTTTCTGTATAAATTGTGGATGACATAATTCACATGCCCATCTGTGGTTCATTGGCATCAGCCTGCTGCATTCAGCTGCAGTCAGGTGAGGTATATTATTTTTTATCCAAATGTTTGTATGCCATACTTCCCTAGTTCTCAATAGCAAAGCCACAGTGACAATGTTTGGTGAAAACATGCATGCAAGAATAAACATGTTCCCTCTGGCAAAATTCAATCGGATAGTATCTTATATTCCTGACAAACCAGAATTATGTTCCTGTCCCAAACCTTAGCAGCCAAATTTCTAGAGAATAAAACCAATTAAAAAAAAAAAGTTAGTTCCACCATAATGCATGCAAAGATTAGCATGATCCACTGAAACAATTGAAAAAAACATGTGGAGTTGACCTACTGGCAAGGGGAAGTTTGCTGTCTGGCCTAAGATTGATCCTGGTTTGGATTGTTATAATCAGAGAGAGATAACTCCCAAAGTGTGATTAGAGCTTGTGAGGAGATGAGTAAATGGAATTAAAGTACAGGAATGGAGACAGAGACCAGAGTAAGATATAATGACTACTACAAAATACTGTAGTGGTACTGCTGAGCTACAGGGCTCAACAAAATGACTCTCCAGACTCTTAATAATATTTTATTATTATTTATTATATTAAAATATAGTAGCAAGTGTATTTGTGGATCCAGCGGCTTCTGACATCTGCAACTATTTTAAGGATCACTTGTCAGAGTGACAAAGAGAAAATCAGAAAGATACTATATTTCCTGGGGGTTCTAAATTTGTCCAGTATGTAAACAATTTGTTACTTGCCAGCAAAACACACAAAGATTGCTTGAAAGATACTATTTTTCCATGTACTGCTTTATCCAGGGATTTCTTTGTTTAAGGACCTTCCTGAGAGATGCCCAACTCAAGCTGTAATGCTATTAAAAAAAGTACTTTTTAAATACTTTTACAGAGGAATCTGTATTTCAGCTTATTGATTGAGCAGAAACATAACAGAACCCAGTTATTGTGGCTGGCATGTATAATTTCCGTAACAGCTCTGCTGCCAGAGTCATCCCTAGACAGTTCAGTGTCACCTGGGGAAAAACCTGGCTGCCTTGCTGTGGGAGAGCTGCCCAAGAGACCGGGGCTGTGTGCAGGGAGGAAGGCTGTCCAGGTAAGATAACTTTGGAGTGAGGCAGAAAGCAACCCAAAGTGTGGGTCAGAGACACCGGGGTGCAGGAGACACTGGGCACAAATACCAGTGGCCTCAACCTCCTGTGCAGGAGCCCAGAGACTCTTTTACCCTCAGCAAGGCAATGGTTATTTTAAATTATGGTAAATAAATGCTGTAAGTTTGAGTCAGGTAAGCAATACTGGGTTTGCAGCGGGGTGACTGTAACGTTTTTAATAAACACTGTCTCTCAACTCATCATGCCATTATAAGGATTTGGTTTTCAGTTCAAAAGACAAGCTTCCAGCCTGAACCCAGGGTTTGGTGTGACTGTCCCAGGCCAGTGGTGGCTGACACAGAGGACAAGGTGACAGCAGCCCTTGCAGCAGTCACTATGTTGTGCAAACACACACAATGACAAGGGCAGCGAGGTGCAGCCACCCGCCCCATACCAAGGATGCAGGAAGAGTTTTGTGCCTTCTATTACCAAAGGGAGATTTGTTTGCATCAAGGGATGAATGGATACATGCTACCTTAACCCAAGAAGGGGTGGAGGGGAATCAGCAGGCCACAGAGAGGACTGGAAGAACTTGTAAAATGCTTCTGGGCAGTGTGCTGGTGTTCAGGTTTTCAGAAAAATACTCAAAAGTCAATAGATTCATTTTTAGCAAACCCTGATTTTGAGCAAACACTAAAGCTGACACTTAGCTACTTGCTTGAGCACTTTGCCAAGTGGTGGTTTGCATTGGAGCAATATCCCAAGACCGTGTGAAGAAATATTGGTCCTTGCTGAGCATCCAGCAGCTGCCAGACATCCCTCTGTGATGCTCTGCAAGCCAAGCACTACCTGCCTTAGTGTCTCACCAAACCTAGATGTGGACAATCACATTAATTTCTACCTTAAAATTTACTGCTGTTTTTATTAACATGGGGGAAGCTGGGTTTCCTTTTAAATGCTACCTGTGGAGATAATTCTATTTTTTTCCCAAAGGTATAAACTCAGAGAACCATACAATCTATATCTTCCCTTTTTCTTTCAGTATAATGTATTTTAATGGAATTTTTAGGCAGATTTTCAATCTTTCAACCTTTTCCTCATCATCTGCAACAAGCCCTACAGTATTAATACATTCATCATAGGAAAGATTTGATTAAAACATGACACTTAAGAGGAGAAACAAAAAATCCAGAGTTTACCCTTGATATGACTGTAATTGCTTGTCCTTTCCCTGATGTAAACAGAGATTGCAGTTTTTGCTCTGGAGCCAGGTTTTTTTACCCTCAAAGCTTTGTGCAAAATGTATAATGGCTTACAGGCTTAAGAGCTGTGCAACAAAATACTGACAAAATCCAGCAGCTCTGTATTTGGCACCCAATGGGAGGGGTGGCATTCATTGTGCACTTATGCTTGGATCTAGAGGCTTGGCTGCTGAGCTTTCTCATTTCCAGTTTCCCCAAGGATTTACTGAAGTCCATCACTTAATTAAATCAATCCATGATCTGAAAACTCAGCAAGATTTTCATCCTAAAGAAGCAACCTGGATTGGTTCTCCCTTGTTAGCCAAGGGCAAAATTTACCACACTACTGGCAGTCACACCCTCTTCCTCCTTTTCTTTCCACATTGTATGTGTGGTTCTTTTCACAGTGGAACACCAGAGATACTTGGTTTATCAATTCATTATGAGCTTTTATAAGCCAAATATAATGTCTAATGACAAATTTATAAATATTACCTGTTTATAACAGTATTTTTGCTATATTGGACTTTTTTTCACTTTCCTTCTTCCTTCCTAGGTCCTTTCTTGATAAGCTGTGATACAAGAAATATATCTGAGACTATTCCACTGCAGAGAATAGAGATGGAATATAGCAGCACAACAGGTTTTTATTTCCCTTTTTATCCCTTCCAAATGCCAGTACGCTCAAAAGTGTTTATCCAAAAACCAACAGCAATTTACACCTTTCACTTCTCTTTTGTATAATAATATCCATTTTCTAGTAGAAACATGGGGAGTTAAAAAATCTGAATTTAGGGAAATTATTTCACATGAGATGAAGAGCTGCTCTTCTCTCAGAACATCACAATATACACTAACATTCCTACTGGTATTATACAGC